TAGAAATCAGAGTTATGGATTCCCAATCTGTCATACAAAAGAACCAAAAAAAAGAACTACCACCTATGAAACTCTACTTTATAGATATAGACGAGGCCACAAAGCACGAATCATCCCGAAATGTTAGATATCTAGCAATGTCATGGCTTTTCAGCATGATAGTCAGCGGAAGAAGTAGTACAGGTAAGACCAATTTACTAGCAAATCTTGTTCTTGGAGATAAATGTGAGCATATATATAAAAGACAAAAAGAAGGATCCAGATATATTAGATGCGATAATTTGATAGTTTGCGGTTACCATCCTGATGAGCCAAAATGGGCATTTGTTAGATATATGTATAGAATAATAGCAAGTAATCCCAAAGCGCCCTATTACGAGAACATTAGATTTAGCTACATATCACCAGAACAAATTCCTAGTGTAAAATTATTTTCACCTGAGAGGAGCACTATAATCATTTTTGAGAATGTTTGTGTTGCTCCCGAGTCTATCCAAAATCGAATTATTCCATTTTTTACATATGGGCGATATCGAAATATTTCTTCATGCTATGTTACTCAGAAATATCATCATGTACCAATTATTATTTGTGAGAATATCTCCCTTCTAGTAATATATAATGGAAGAAGCAGTTATCAAGATGTGTCCAAGATAGCTGGCCGATATACTGATGATGTAAAGGGCACATCCATGGTTATTAATAGCTACCTCCATAAAGGTGAGTTTGTTATATTTGATTTCAGTAGGCCAAAGGATGATCCTCTAGCAATTCGGCTAAGATTTGATACACCATTGAACCTGCAGAAGGAAATAAAGGCAAGGCAAAGGCGCAAGGAAAAAAGTGTCCAGCTAATGAATAGAATTATCAAATTGTAGATCCCCTATTTTTTCATAAATTCGAAAATAGAAAAAAAAAAGTAATCAGAAAATTTTTTAAATAAAATTTCACAAAACTCTTCACTCCGAAAAAATTTATTTTTGAGGAGGGATGATTTGTTTGTTCACAAACTTTCAAAGCACTTAATTATATTACTGACCATAGATGAGAAAATCATAAGTAAATATACACTTCATAGATTTTTATTTCACATTGACGGTGGACAACTATAAAAAAATAAATTATTATAATAAATACGTAATATCTATTTTGATATCGAATCCATGCTCTGGAAAATTTGGCGCACATACTCACAATTATTGTTCGAATCTGAGAAATCTATGTTAATTTCTTCTCCTAGGATATAAAGATATTTAGTTTCGAAATAGTTGATTTTTAGTGAATCACATGGATATGATTTGCCTACCATTTTACATATGTATCGCCCATATTCTGAAATTCTAACAAAGTTTTCATTGCCATTGTTGGGGTATTTGATAATACGGTAATATTCGGGATTCGATAGCCACTTTAACATATAAGTCCATTCTGAATATTTAATGATTCTATAGCCTTGCCAATATAATTCTATAAAAGCAACTATATATGATACAAGACATAATTGATTATTTAGCTATTCTTTTTTTCTTTCTATCCAGTTATTGGGAAGATAATATTCTTTATACTCTTTTGGTAATGGATAATTATATCCTTTATTTATCATAGTAATAATTTTAGCACTACGTAAATTATATTGTTGACTAGTATAAAGATTTTTTATTTTTCGAAGAATAACATCTAAAAATTTTTTATTATTGGGAATACCATCATTCCTCACTATATTTCAAATTCGTTTCGCCCATGTTTCAGGTCTCAACTTGTAATCTCTCCAAGCCCGTTGGATAATTTTTGCACTATTAAATAAGGAATAAGCAATTTCCTCTCTAAATCCATTGTCTGTATTATATACATGATAACCACACTGTGAATATACAGAACTAAGTGATGATACACTTCTTCCTCCTTTTTTCTGAACAGGATTAGAATGTGTGAAATGCCTTTTAGCTGTTTTAGCAATGCATTTATTCAGGTGATGATTGGCACATTCGATAGTATTTTCACAGATAAATACCAAGATGTCGTATACAGTGCAATAAATATAAAATGAACGCTTCTCAACCGTAAATCTCCCATCTCTAGATCTTTCAGTCAAATAGATAAATACATTCTTGGAGAAGTATTTTGGGTTATTTTTTAGAAGTGTTCTAAATGGATAATGAATATGCGAACACCACATTTCAGGCATTTCATTACTATACCTATATTGCAGATTGATTAATGCCTGTGATACGGCAGGATTCAAACCATTATAGTAGTTAGTTTTAACCATTTTGCAGGTATAGTGATAATACGTATACGTAGCAATTTCACTGATTTTATCGATTTATAGCAATTTCAATGACTTATAACGGTTTGTAACAAGTATATGATAATAAAATATCAGATTTATTTTTATTCGAAACTGGAAGATACATTGTGTATGCATATTTACAAAGAAGAGAAGGAAGCATATACTTCGTAGATTTTTTTTTCATATTGACACTTTTCAACTTGTGTCGGAATTAGATAAAAAAATATTAATATAAAAAATATATCACTCTGATATAGTATTAGGAAAATGGTAGACAACTACCTATACCTGTATCAAAAATTAATTTTATTTCCGTTTATATATATATATTTTTCTGGTGGATACATTCAATCACTCTCTGCGATGTGGTTCAGTTGTTTAGGAAGTCTGCATCACTTTCTTCCTCACACACGCCCCATATCAAGGATAACGATCATGCCTGAGATGAAAAAATAACTTTATATAGGGAGAGAATACTCGGATCCTAGGCCTGCCTCGAAAGGCGAAAAGTACCTCTAAGAAGACTATAAAACTAAATGTAATAAAAGATATTAATCTACTTTTAAAGGATCATAAAATATGTTCGTGCTTTCTTCGATATGATTAGCATTAGAATTGGAAATACTCTCTTCAATGATTGAGCTATCGGATTTTTCAATCTTAGCTTTTTTTATAGTGCGTAGTGCTTTCTTACGCAAATTTCTCTTGGAGGCCTTCGACATAGTGGGTGTATTTTGTAGTGACATAATGTTGATACAAGTATGTGATTTGTAAAAACAAAAACAAAAATTTTTAAGATGTTCTCTTGAAAACTAACAAATTCGGAACAGAACTTTGTAGTGAGGATAACCCTTTTATTAT